ATATATATATATACGGGCAGTAACAAGCGGCGACCACCGCCGTGCTATTAATTATCTCGCTCCACCCTCCCCTGTACTTAGACATGGTCTCTCGTCTGCTCGGCTTTGAACAATTCGCCTTTAGTCCATCCACAGCGGTACAAGGTGTTGTGCGACAAAGTCTACATAGACTCTCGTGATGTGTTATTTGTACCTCAACGTATGCGCAGAAAGCTCCGTGTGTACGTGCACTATGGACAGGGTGTGTGCAGTGGTTCTGTAAATGTATAAATCAGCACCCCTCCTGTGAAACGAAAAATATACGCGCACGCACCAAATGACCTATAGATGTCCCGGCAAATGGCTTCGTTGCTTTTTCTTCGTCTCTCGTGTGCACGTAACCCGCAAACAGCAATAGAGCTCAACGTACAAAACGTCAAGCTCTATAATATTACGCGTGTAGATGTGTTTATTGCAATTTGAACAAAAGCAGTCCAAAAAAGCTCTTTACACGAGTATCGATCGCCGCGGCGCATCAGAGAGTTGGCGTCCGCTTACCACGTGGGACTTTTATGGCGAGAGAAATGCCGCACAAGGACCCCCGTTGTCCGAGGGAGCCATGCAATTGCGACCAAACGTCAGATGAAATCCCTAGAATTCAGCGAAGGAGCGTCGCCGTGTTAATTGTACTTGAGCTCATCACGGTTACAAAAGGCCAACATTGAAGCTTATAAGATTATATTGTACGGATAAAGTCTTCCCTTTGGTGCTCCAGGTTAAAAATATCATTTTTGTAGATTTTTTTTGCTGCCTGGAGTAATCTGAGTAAATTCTCGAGGCTCCGTGGTTACTAATCCTCTGGTAAAGACTGCCCCCTGTATGCGAGTCCGGGGCCATTATTTACGTAACATGTAAGGAAATGAAAAAAAAAAAAAAAAAAAATGGATGTCTTTAAGTAAAGATGAGGATGAGGACATAGTAGGAGAAACTTAGAGAGTAGGGCACCAAACAGTCAAAATCGTTAACGGTGACATTTGAAAAAATGATTTTAATAATGTGATAGTGACAAACACTACAAAATAAAAAATAATACTAGTAAATACGATACACATTTAAGAATATTTGTTATAAATATCTGTAAAAAATTATATTAAAAAAAGAGGTCACCATTAAAAATAAAATAAATTTTTTTCTTTCGTATTAAAGTTCACGGCATTCTTAACGGAATCTATTTATAACATTTGATCTAGATGTACCGTAAGGTTCAGGACAGTATGTAAGAAATTTTGAAATAAATAATCATTCTGCAACGACATTTAAAACGTTAGATAATAATCTGTATGTATAGTTAAAAAGCCCTATAAGAGGGATAAGATTCTAAATCTTGATGAATTTTTATGAAAACATATTTAAGTTTATAATAATGCACATTTTAAATTTGAAATTGTGATTTTTTATTTTTTTTGCTTCGTAACTGTGCGAAAAATAGGCTTGACAAAGCTCTACTAGCACTGATCGAAAGATAAGTAAACAATGAATTCATAATTTTTAGCTATTTTGACAATGCGATGATAAAAAAAAAAGTATGAATGAAATTTAAAGAAATAATGGATTGGTTACGCTAACTTTGCCTAAATAATTTTTTATGTAGTATTATCACAATAGGAAACGATTCTCATCGTTTTTGTCGTAGTAGTAAAAATATCTTCACTTATTATTTTTTGTGACTTTATCTACCTACCTAATAGTTTTTTAATAACATAAGATTCGTGCACGTTTATTGCACTATTACAAGGAATTCAACATTTAACATTTTTTCCACTCGCAGGATAGAAAAAATTGTACGTAGACTTTTTTACTCAATTTAATGATAACCTTTGCAAAACATTAAGTGCTCAAAAAAATGAATGAAGATGACAATAATAAGAAATATTTTTGATTCTTACAATGACCTTAATCGTACCCTTGTCAAATTCAGCGCAATCCAACTCCTTTTGGTGGACCTCCTTGTATAAAACCACAATTTTGTTCAGTTTAGACAAAAAATCTTAGAGAAATTGAGGTATTGAAATGCAATTTCCAAATAGCCGTACCTGATTACTGATAGGTAAAGGGCAATAATCTTTGCTCGGTTTTAGGTCTAACTGCCTCGACACTTCAGTGGCGTTGCTAGAACAGGTATCCTGATGAATTTTACGGCCACATAAATAGAAGCCAGTCTCCATAGCTTCTTTTCTATTTCGATCATCAAACGCTAACCACTTTTGATCCATATCTTCGGACATTTTTCGACAAATACTGTGATATAACTGCGTAGGTGCTAGACGAGAAAAGTCTTACAAGCAACTAACGAGCAACGAAATGGTTTTTAGTGTTATTGCTATACGTGTCGTGTACATGACCTCACTTTCGTTTATAATTGATACCTGTTATCTCGACTATTAAAAATTTTCGTGGCCAACTTTGTTAATGATACATGCTAGTGTGTGCTTAGGTACGTTCTTTGTTCTAGAAAAATCTTACCAATATATAAAGCAAAAGCGCTAAAACCGTTGTAATCGCTAACCGCGAAAACTACTAAACCGATTTTGTTGAAATTTTGCACACTGATTTATGATACTTCCTAGATGGTTTTAGTATAGTTCAGCTTATATTTTTCTAATTGTAGTACCTCGTTTCGATCACTAAATTCCAAAAATTACATCCACACTCATAGCCAGGAAGGGTAATAAGTAATTTTGTCAATATTATTCGACAAATCTGTCATTACCTTACATAAACTTCAAGACAGCTAACTTAGAATTTTAACAGTCACTAGTTTTTTTTTATTCTATTTTTATGAGTGACCCCAGTACTCCGACGACTTCAACATATTTTATTCATCTTTGTCAGTAAACAAAATCAAGAAATGAAATGCATCATTTTGTTCTTTTATTTTTGACACTTTTTATTACTTTTACTTGGGTATTAAATTATTTAAAATTTTAAACATTCTAAATAGTCTATACTTCAACAGCTGGCTTATTCTTTAAAGTAAAACGAACATACAAGACGTCGTCAAGGTAAAATCCTGCCTCAACTCTATCAAAATCACACTGATCTGGAGGGTCAAACATCAACGTGGTTTCGTCTAGTTGACTTTTCTTGGTACCCTGAACCAATATCGATTTACCTCTGACCTAAAAGAGAACATCATTGTTATAACTGACAAGTATGGATGGGTAGATGAAGAATGTAGTAAGAAAACAAGTTGTATGAAGAATGCTGGTGATAGTCCTGCAGTTGGGTATCGCGGTTACGGACAACACTCTTCTCTAAAGAGAAAGGGACCTAGGAGTCCCTTCACCCCGAATCTCGAAGAGTACGATCAAAAAAAAAAAATAATAATTCCAGCCGATGCCAACTCTGCCAGAATAGCAGGAGAAATATCTAGCCAGAGCACAATCTGCACCAACTCTTCAGAGTTGTGAGGGAGTTCCACCATCCCACCTGGTGCAGTTAGAGAATTTGTGGCTACAAATGTAAGCAAGGGAAAACAGCTCTGAGGGGCACGGGCAGCCACAACGGCTACCTTCTTGGTTGTCGCGTCCCCAACGCGCTTACCCACATGTTTCCGACCAACGATGAGCGGTTGGTTATCCGGGGAACGACCCCAAACGAGGTATTCTTTGGTCAGCGGCGTACCTCCCTTCATCACAGTCGCCGTACATCGAGACTCCCAGGGTAAGAATCAAGCAACTCGTAGCCAGCTCTTTATCATCAGGAATAATAAGAAAGGATAGCCGGAAGTTTAACCACTGGCGCTTTTTAGGGCCATTATAAGTATTTGCGTTCCCTACTTAACCATCAATTTCCTCGGTTCTTTTTAGGATCCACCTAAGTGTAAACTACCTTGCCAACAACTACATTGTTATTACTATTTCCGGAAGCGATTCGTCGACTAATAGACTATATCAACTAAAGATGGGCACTATTAAACCAAGTCAGCCATTCACTAGCAGACGTCACCTGCGGAGTTGTTCTTCGCAAGGCTGGAAAACCCGTTGACCGACGACCCTATATTACCCTCTGGACTCTAAGCATTCAACCAGGAATCACTGATCCTCTCCAAGGTTTGCGCTGGGAAAACCTATAACAGCTATGAAGGAAAAAAAACTTGAGCCAACGGGACAGCCTCCACTGGACAAGTATCACTAACCAATCTCCCCATCTAAGATCACCCAAACAACTGAATCTGCAAATAAAAAAGGTGCTTTATATACCAACATCTTCGACGTTATACCGGAAGACGTTGGAAAAGAGCACAACAACTAGCCCCAAAGCTTCGGACTTTGTAATTTTTCTCCCAATCAGTCTGGGTCTTCAACAGCAAGCCAGAGAAGATCACCCCGAGGTATCCAGGCAGTCACAATTGCTGTTAACTGCAGTCAAGAAAGAGTTTACTTAATAAGCTCACTGGTCTTTTTTAGGGCCATCGGACGTCGAACTACCTTGCCAACAAATATAATAGAACTTAACAAAGTTGACAGACAACAGCCTTTAGGGTTCAAAAAAATTTTAAGTAAAACTTCAAATGTATTTAATAATTACAATTTTACTTAGGCGTCAAGAAACTGACGCAGAAAATTTATCGAGATTGGAACAGCAGCGTCAAAATTGACAAGTAAAGAATCCATTACGTGAGAGATCAGCTTTTTGTTGTACCCTCACAGCAATCTCTGAAATCTTTAAAGATCCTACTTCAGATTTTTAAATAAGTAGAAAATATATTTGTGTTTTTGTGGCAATAAAAATGTAGGGTTTAAGGTCCAGGACTTTGTTTCTCTGGTAATAAAGTTGTATGATAAGAGAAAAAAAAATTTTTTTAGTATAAATTTTTTGGGAGTTTAAAATCTTAACAGCTTAAAAAAATAGCCCTTTTCGTGAATTACACGAGAGAAACTGTAATTCAACGGCTCCTTATAGCCACCGATTATTTTATGGCATAAAGAGCGCACGGTACTTTTCAGCTTAATTATTTTTTTGAATTTTTACACTTTATTATTTGACCAAATAAACTATATGGTTTCTGAAAAAAGGTGTTTTTAATAAGAAGATTTTTGTCCTGAGATGTGTCAGGAATATGTGTAAAATTTTTAACTGAAAACCTTTCACATTACATGTCAACACACTACGGAGTTTTATTTAGTAAGTCTCGGGCGAAGCCGAGACGGGGGGCTGCTAGTGGCTAATAAAATTGTCTTTTGATTTTTGCTGTTTGATAAAAATGTTTTTGCAAGACAAAGGCTTATACAACGTTACTTCATCTTATACCGCCAATAATTACATTTAACAATACATTGGTTTACTTATAAGTGATACGTACGCGTGAGTATCAAAGTAAAAAGAAATCTCGTTAAAATCGTCAATTTGACCAAAAGCTATCTCAGCGCAGTGGTTACGGATATTATTTGCTATTAAATTTATTTAAAAAATCCCTTGAAACTGCTCCGATAACGAGAAATGTCGTCTTTCGTACAGATGCATTTTCGATAGGCGTACATTAACTCAACTCTCCAAAGATAACACTGCGAGGAACGAGAAAGAGCTCTGTCTCCTTATCGAAAGAGTTGGATGTTAGGGTGCTTATATGGTACGTGAAAAAAAGGGAAGAAAAAATGTTACGCCACAGTCAAGTAGAGCTTGGTAAGAAGTTGCATTGATTCGCAACTCTTTAGGTCAGCTCTTCGTATTGAAACCCTCACTCCTTTAGACGATCTTGTACTCAACGACAGAAATTTACACAAATGAGATAAAGTGAGTATTTTTATAGCAATATTTTCATGATATATCTTAGTAAGAAAAAATTTGTTTGGATAAGAAAAAGAAAAAAAAAACTGCGATAATGTACTTTTTGTTTTCATAAAACTTACTCACTGCATTACGAAATCTGTACGGCTTTTTAAACAATCTAATTCACATTAAATTTTTTTATGCACACTGGCTATAAGTACACTAGATGTTCATCACATCCTAGCTACCTGGGAGCTTGAAAACTCTTTTACGATAGAGCACGAGATGTACCCATCCTACGGACAAATGATTGAGCTAACCTTGTCAGTTATCATTTAAGTTGTTATTAGATATGTATTGTACTAAGTTGTTGTCACCCTAGGGATCAATCTTTTGCATATATCTGACTATAGCACGAATTTCGATTCAAGAGAGCTTTCTTTGTGAAGTTTTGTTTTCATCTTGTTTCAGAGAGTTGTATCCCCTGTTAGCAGGCACTTCTGATATTGCTATTAATAAGAATAATTTTATCTTTGTATAAGTCTACAATATATGATAAATGTATTTATTAGGCTATCGTTAGCATTTTAACTTATGCCATTCGGAGCATCTTTTATTGTAAGGAAAACCAGGTGAAAGTAATATTCATTACACACTTGTGTGGAGGATATACGGAACAAATCTAGTAAACATAAGTTGTCATAGCTTTCGCTTTGATACGGTTTCGTTGGTAACGTACATCTTAGTTTAGTAGGAAAAATTAAAAAAGCTTTCGATTTTCTGTTCCATTTTTACTTTTTTTTATTGCAAGTGAGCTTTTGTATAATAATTGGGTAGGACAATATAGCACAAATTGTTTTATAATAATTGGGTAGGACAATATAGCACAAATTGTTTTATAATAATTGGGTAGGACAATATAGCACAAATTGTTTTTTGTACTTGTACAGAATTCCTAACACGAACATTATTGTGAACCTCTGGGATCTAGCGTGTACGATAACCTGCTGCATAAAAAGTTCTTAATGTCAACGCTTATGTTATACCTTCATTGTTATACACAGTCAAATAAAGCAGGATGTTGCAGCTTGACATTAAGCATTTGCAAACAAGATGTTATCATATTTACTTGAATATTGTATTGATGCCGAAAAACAAGGGGAAAATACTTCGGAAGGCTCTTACGACCAGCTCATATCTATTTTGAAAACTTTGGTCGATACGGTAGGAAACATCAATTAAGAAACGACGGCATATTTTCTACGTGCAGTTAAAGTTGTTTAGGACACCTTTTTTACGATAGAGTTCACATTTCAAATAAGATTTTTATCAAATCTTCTAAATACTTAACGATAACACTGTTACTAAATTATAACCATATATTGCAGTTAAATCGAGAAAAAATTTTGTTTGAACAAATCGCTCAATTATTTATAAGAATATAGCCATTTGAAACAAATCTACTTAACGCTTGTTAACTCATATAATTGATTTCCGATTTTGATCCAAAATCTCTCATTCTCTAATGTATATACATACAGAGAGCGCGGTGGCTCAGTCGACTAGGTCGTGAATTTGCACGCGGGAGACCGTGGTCCGGCCATAGTACGACTTTTCCGGGCAAGTACCTCTGTGATTTTTTACATGTGCTTTTTCACCACGCAATGCTCTTCAAGGAAGGTCTTAGGCGACCTTCTCGCAGCATAATTGCCTATTTTCCCCCTACCCCCCTTCCAGCATTGAGAGACCTCCCATCCCTCTTTTCTTCCTTCTCCAAAGTGCTAAGTGCTTATAGTAGTGCCCTTACTAAAGAAGCCGGACGTAGAGAACTTTAATATTTATAAAAAAAAAAAATAAATGTATAGTTTTAATAAAGAGTTGTGA